GCCAGGAGCTCGAGGATGGATTGAGCAACTCACCCAAGGCAGCGCTGGGAAGTGGCAGAAAGAAAAAAATAACAAAACGTGCATTAATTGCATTAATTTTGGGGCAGATCAGCAGGCTCAGGGAAAAGTCTCCTCCTATTCTCCACCTGCTTTGGGCTCCTGCAGGGCCTGGCCTTGGCCAGCGCTGCCCTTTGGCTCTGCTGGCACCACACTGGGGAGGATTTCACAGCTCCAGGAAAATTTCAGGGGTTCCTGCAGCCATCATGAATATACTTGACAGGAAATTGCTTTAAATCTGGCTGTGTTTGCGGAGGCAATAACTCATCTCGGCAAAGGAAGCCGTCTTAATTTCCCCCGTGGTTTGACGAGTCGCTGGGAAGGCGTCTTCTGCCTCAGCCATCAATAATGACTTTTGCTGGCACTGTGAGAAGTGCAGGGCTGGCGATAAGAGCTGTGCCCCCTCCTCTCTGTGCCCTGGGCTGTCTGTCCTGCGCTGGGATTTATTCACACACTGCTCAGGGAACTTGGATCTTCCCATGGATGGAGCATCCACCACCCACTGGGCAATCTGGGCCTGCATTTCACCCCCTYATCATAACAATTTCTGCTTTTTATCCAGTCTGAATCGATTCTTTTTTGGTTTAAAGGTTTTATTTCTTGTCCTGAAGCTGCAGGTCTGATTAAACCGCGGTCTGGAGCCCTGTCCCACCTCTGTGCCCCAAACCAGCCCAGCCTGRAACTCCTGCCTCTGACTTAATAAGGAGTGATCAGCCATGAAGTGAAACACTGTTTTTAAAAACGTTTTGAGCTCTCTGGTGGCAGCAGTTGATAACTGACACTCAGTTCTTTSCCTCTTTCTTCCTCATTTCCCCCTCTCTCTTTCTTCCACGACTGCCCCTCGCGGGAGACAGCAAGAAAGTTGACGTTAAATCAAACAGCTGCTCTGGTTGCTGGCAACAGCAGTTTGGAGACCTACATAGAGCAGGGAAAATTAATAAAACACATATTTATTTTGGGGGCTCTCTCAGCTCGTTTTGTTTAGGTTTGTTTTCTTCGCGGTGCCTCAGGAAGCCGGCGGAGCAGCCGAGGCGCCGCTCTGGAAAATCATCTCTGGGTCGTGCTGTGCCCTCCTTCTGTGCTCTTGGAGAAGGGTTTTCTCCAAGTTTAGGGATTCCCTTCTGCCCTGGTTATCTCCAGGAGGTTATTTTTTATTTTTTATTTTTGGAGCAGAGCTTTAGCAGCAGACAGAGGCTGGCGATAGCACAGAGCGGTGCCGGAAGGGGCAGCTCAAAACCCAGTGGAAAATTTGGGGGTTCAGCAGATTTGGGAGTTCAACAGATTTGGGGCTCAGAAGAGTTGGGGCTCAGCAGATTTTGGGCTCAGCAGATTTGGGGGGCTCAGCAGATTTTGGGGCTCAGCAGATTTGGGGCTCAGCAGATTTGGGGGCTCAGCAGATTTGAGGCTCAGGAGATTGAGACTCAGCAGATTTTGGGACTCAGAAGGTTTGGGGCTCAGCAGATTTGGGGGCTCAGCAGATTTTGAGACTCAGCAGATTTGGGATCTCAGCAGATTTTGAGACTCAGCAGATTTTGAGACTCAGCAGATTTTGAGACTCAGCAGGTTTTGGGGCTCAGCAGATTTGGGGCTCAGCAGATTTTGAGACTCAGCAGATTTTGGGGCTCAGCAGATTTGGAGGTTCAGCAGATTTTGGGGCTCAGCAGATTTGGGGCTCAGCAGGCTTTAGTGGCTCAGCAGATTTGGGGGCTCAGCAAATTGGGGCTCAGCAGATTTGGGGCTCAGAAGAGTTGGGGCTCAGCAGATTTTGAGACTCAGCATATTTGGGGAGGGCTCAGCAGATTTGGGGGCTCAGCAGATTTTGGGCTCAGCAGATTTGGGGGGCTCAGCAGATTTTGGGGCTCAGCAGATTTGGGGCTCAGCAGATTTGGGGCTCAGCAAATTTGGGGCTCAGCAGATTTTGAGGCTCAGCAGATTTTTGGGCTCAGCAGATTTGGGGCTCAGCAGATTTGGGGAGGGCTCAGCAGATTTTGAGGCTCAGCAGATTTGGGGCTCAGAAGAGTTGGGGCTCAGCAGATTTGGGGCTCAGCAGATTTGGGGCTCAGCAGATTTGGGGAGGGCTCAGCAGATTTTGAGGCTCAGCAGATTTTGAGGCTCAGC